GCAGGTGGTCCCTGCTCAGCCTGTTTCCTAGCCTGTGAAGAGCGGAGTTAGGCCTAGCTCCCGGCTTCCAACTGGACACCTGCCCATCCCTCACCTTCCTGTCAGCCCGAGGCTGGAGAGCCCTCCTAGGCCTCTGGCCCGCACCAGAGAAGAAGGTTAGAAAAGCGAAGCCCAGGGCCCAAGGCTGTCCCGTTGGCGACGCCGCCGATTCGCGAGCGGACGCGGACGCGGCCGCTTTAAGGCGCGGTGACCCCACGACATCTGCGGGCGGGGCGGGGACAGTGCGGGCGTCCGCGGCACCGGCGGAGGCGAACGTGAGGGAGGTAGTGCGCGGCGTCCAGCCCCACCATGCTGACGGCGCTCGCCCGGCCAGCCCTGCCCGGCCTCCCAGGGCAGCTGCCTGCGGCCCCCGCCCGGCGTCAGAACTCCTCCGGTTCGTCAGGCTCCTACCACACGGCTCCGGGTTCTCCAGAGCCCCCGGACGCTGGGCCGGACGCGGAGTGCCGGGCGAATTGGCCCGGGGTGGCCCCTGCGCTGGGGGCGGGCGCGCAGCCTCGCCTGTCCGTCAGCGCCCAGAATAGCCGCCAGCAGCTCGGGCCCGGCTCGGGTTTCCCGCGAGGCCCGGGCTCCCGCCCGCGGCCACCCCAGCCCCAGCTGCGCATGCTGCCGTCGGGGGAGATGGAAGTCATCTTCGGCGCCGGGGCTCTGTTCGGCCGCTCGGACGCGGCGGATAGCGAGGTGCAACAGCTCACCAAGCGGGCTTTCCGCAGCCTCTCTCCGCCCGGGCCCGCGACTCCGGCTCCCGCCACACCGACGCCCCAGACCCCCGACGGTGGCTCCCGCTGGGCCACTTACCTGGAGCTGCGGCCCCGCGGGCCGAGTCCTGGGACCCCAGCGCAGTTCGAGTGTGTGGAGGTGGCGCTGGAGGAGCGCGACGCGCCCGCTAGGACCCGGACGGTGCCCAAGCGTCAGATCGAGCTGCGCCCCCGGCCCCGGAGTCCGCCGCGGGAGGCGGGAGCACCGCGCCCCCGACTGCTTCTGCGCACTGGCTCCCTGGACGAGTCGCTGGGCCGCCTGCAGGAAGCCGCGGGCCTAGTGCAGACAGCACTGGCCAGAAAACTGAGCCCTGCGGCCCCTGCCCCGGGCAGCGCCACCTTCGGGCCCACGGGGCGGCCAGAGTGTGCGACTCGGGAAACGGCCCGCAGTACCCGAAAGGTCCTGGAGGAGGCCAGGTCTCGGCCACCCCGCGTGCACTATAGTTCAGCCCCCACCAGGGCACCACGGCCGTGGCCCAGCCTCCGAGAGCGCGCGATTCGGCGCGACAAGCCCGCGCCGGGGACCGAGCCGCTGGGTCCGGTTAGTTCCAGCATCTTCCTGCAGTCAGGGGAGAAGACTCGGGAGGCTCACAGTCAGGAACTCAAGACTCGGTTCCCGCGAGAGACTCTGGATCCAACCGTCCTGAGGGCACAAAGTCCGCCTTTCGAGTCTACGGCCCCCCGGGAAGTTCCGAGTAAGGCTGGGAGGCCAAGGAGCTCGTCCCCGCTGTGGCAGGCTCCAAATGGGACGATACGAGGTCCACACTGCCCGTCCCCCCAGAATCTGCCCCCGTGGAATCGGGCTATTCGGAGGGTAAGTAGCCCGTCGTTCCCTGAGGCATCATCTGCATGGGGAAATCAGGACGCCGCTATTGAGGAAACTGTCCGAAGAAGCCCTTCCCCACCGACCCTTCCCCAGTGGAATCACGGTGTTGCCAGGACAAGAAGCCCATCCCCCGAAGCTCCTTCCCTATCGGAGGTTCGGCAACCCGCAGTTAGGAATGCCACAGCGAGCTGTAGGAACCCGTCCCCGCCGGCCCTGTCCTCATGGGAGGCACCAGATCGTACTAATGGGACGTGGAACCCATCTCCCCAAGAGACGTGGGATCGCACACTGCAGGGCTCATCGATGGTATCTGCGTCGGAAGCTCTGAATGGGATAGGACAAGAGGAGCTCGAGCTGCCTGGGCCGTCCGCAGCCGGGACTCCCGAGCTCACAGAGGCGCCGAGGCAGTCCACGCGGGAGAGGCGGGATCTTGCCTTCCGAGGCAGTCAGCCGTCGCCAGAAGTGGCTGCACCTGAGCTGCGCCTCAGTCGCCCCGTGGGTACCCTGGAGGCCGATGTGCACCCGGAAGCCTTGGGCCCGGGAGAAGCCGCCTCCGGACGGCCGCGCGTGGCCATCCCGCGGCCCCGCGACGTGCGCAAGATGGTGAAGACCACGTACGCGCCAAGCTTCTCCGCGGGAACCCCAGCTTTGGGGCGGCCTGTGCCTCCTGCGGAACCCCGCGGGGAGGAGGGCGGCGCATCCAAGACACAAGAGTTCCAGGCGCTGGGGTCCCCAGCCCCAGCTCACTACACTTCTGTTTATCTCAAGGACTTTCTTCCGGTTGTGACGCACCCCTACGAGCCCCCAGAGCCGCCTCCTGACCCAGTCCCCCGGGACGCTTCGCAGCCCAACGGGGTGGTCCTGAGGCGGAGAGCAGAGAACAGCACGGCAAAACCCTTCGCGCGCACTGAGATCCGCCTGCCTGGTGCACTGGTCTTGGGCCGCCGGCCAGAGGGAGCCGGGGGAGTTCTGGCGCGCGGTGCTGGCAGAGAGAACCGGGACGCTGAGGCCCAGGGCCTGGTCCCCGACGGCGAGGGGCGGAACAGCCCTCCAGGCGGCGCTCGCACCTCACCCCAGCAGTCGCCCATCGGGCCGGCCGGGCCCCAACCACCCCGACCACCCTGCCCCAGCTCCCCTCAGGCGCACCCTAGCTCGAGCCCTGGGATAGCACCCAAATTGGAGGCTCCCCCTGTAGCCCTCGAGCCTGCGACTGAGGTCCGGTCGTCTGTCCCGCGGGAGCCGCAGGCGTCGGCCCGCAGAACAGCCCCGCCCCAGCCCCGTGCCGCCTCGGCGCCTCCGATGGACCGGTCCCCCGAAGGTTCCTTCCAGGGGGCGCGCAGGCCACCTGGGACCGCGTACGCTGGGAAGGTCCTGGTGGACCCCGAGAGCGGCCGCTACTACTTTGTGGAGGCGCCGCGGCAGCCTCGGCTACGGCTGCTCTTCGACCCCGAAAGCGGGCAATACGTAGAGGTGCTGCTGCCGCCGTCGCCCCCGGGGCCACCCCGCCGCGTCTACACCCCGCTAGCCCTGGGCTCTGGCCTCTACCCGCCCGCCTATGGGCCTATCCCGGGCCTCTCAATGCCGCCGTCCCCCGGCCCACAGGCCTTCAGCGGCCCCCATGTACCCTGGGCCTCCGAGGCGGGGCCCCTGGACGGGATGTACTACCTGCCAGTGAGTGGAACCCTCAGCCCCGCTCCTCCTCTGCTCCTCTGTGCTCCGCCCAACAGTTCAGGTTCAGCCCAGCCCGGCAAGGGGTCCTTGTTCCCCGTGTGAGGCCCCAGGGCCTGATCCGCGGGTGTTGGGGCCTGTTTGATAGCCTTGGAGGTTCTAGCATCCAGTCCCCTGACCTCCTTTCCTTCTATCAACTCCTTTACCCATCCCGCCCAGTCTTCACACTGGAAGTTACCTTCAGAGAACTATCAGACTTTGGGACTGATGGAGCTGGGACTCAGAAAGTGGCTGCCTACTTCCTCCCCCAACAAAATTGTATACTCCTTTCCCAGGCATTCCCGGAGTGTGGTGTGTTTGTGTGCGTGTGAAAGTGAGGCGTCTCAGAAGTTGTTCCTAGGAGCTGACTTGAGGGCGTGTTGGGAGTTCACTAGGGGCAACAAGAAAGAGGATCAGCAGAGGTGGGGGCTGCCCCCAGAGGTAGTGAGCTGTCTGTCCCTCCCCGAAGGTGACCCAGCTGAGGAGGAACAGGCTAGGGAGCGCTGGTGGATGGAGGGAGGACTCTGACTAGCAACTCTGGTACTATTTGGAAGAGGCTCTGAGCCTCGGCCTGGGAGGCTGTGGGAAAGTGGCCAGTGCAGCCCTCGGCCAGGCTGAATCGGAGAAAGGGAGCTGCGGGGACAGCAGGTGGAGATGGAACAGGGATGTAATATGGAAGGGGCTATGGAGGGTCAGCCTGGGCATGGGGGTTGGGTGGGGAGGCAGCGGTAGTCTCCAGCTGGGAGCCCCACTTCCCATCCTCCCCTCAACCTCGGCATCTGACTCGCCTCTCTAAGCCCTCGATGCTGAGCGGGCTCATCCTGGGGCCAGGAGTGGAGCCTTAAGCCATTCCCACCCAGGGTGGGGGGACAGATGAAGTGCTTAGCAAGCAGGGAGGATGGTAGTGTAGGGTGGGTTAGGGCTGGCAGTAGAAGGGATGCCGTAGGGGTGGGGAGCAGGGCAGAGAGACTTGGAGCCCTCAGCTGGTTCCCCTCCCTCTGTAACAGATGTGGCAGCCATGCCCAGAGAGGGCCTAGCTCGGCAGGCTGGTCACGGCAAGGAAGGAACAGGACCTGAAGCGTGTGTTCTAATTGAGAACATTGAACCTTGAGATTGCCGGAGCCTCTGAGGAGGGCTGAGAGAGATGCATGTGGTAGGAGGTGCTCTGCCGTGGGGGGGTCTGTGTGTAGTTCTGAGCTTGAAGTGGCAGGGCCTTGCTGAACTGATATGTGATGTAATGAGTTTGGGGAAGAACAGTTCCCACTAGAAGCAGTTGTTAGGGATGGAGATTGATGCCTTACTTAAGTTCCAAGCCTCTGGGCGGCCTGGGTCCCTGGAAGTCCCTGCCTCCCTGCCTTGGGCTGGAAGCTGACTGTGAGAGCTGTGAGGCAGATTCACCTGAACAACTTCTCATGGCCAAAGATGCTGGTTCTGATGGCATGGAGGACCCGGGGCCCCTCCTGGTCCCCTCACCTCATCCTGGTGTGCAATAAATCACTGACCCAATCAGCCATGATGCTTGGAACAGCTCGTGTAAGTTGTCTGATTTCTGATTTCCTGCTGTGACCTGTGACACCCCCTATAATGTTCTTCCATGCCTGGGTATGGTCTGGGTGGAGAGGGCCCCAGGGCCCAGGGAGGGAGCCCATGTGTGTCTTTCATGCACTCTGGCCTCCTTGCCTCCGCAAACTTGCCTCCCAGGGAGAGAGCCCTAGGCCTGCAACCATGCCCGTGACAGGTGTGCGTGTGCCTGGTGGCTGGGTGGCCAGTGGGCTTTGGGGTCAGTCAAGCTTGGGTTCTAACTTGAGTATGGCCCTTCTAAGCTGTATGGTCTTGGATTCATCACTTCTCTCTGAGCCTTCATGTGCTCATAAAAATGACACTAACTAACCACCTCTGCCCCCAAGCTACTCCGTACAGTGCCCACCGAGTGGCCAGATCCCAGGACATGGGAGGGGTCAGCCCCCATGTGTCCCTGAGCAGGCCCAGCCCCCCTCCTTACGTCACTGTTCCCTATTTGTGAAATGGGGCTGAGTTGGCTGCAGCAGGGATCCCAGTAGGGGAGGTGCACACGTGGCGTCTCTGGGGGAAGGAAGAGAGTGGGAGGGGTGAGCTGTTGGTTCCCCATTGGTCTGGGTCAGGCTTTCCGGGGTGGCCCCCCCAGCACGCAGGCACACGCACACCTGCGCCCAAACCACAGCCCAGGCTCACTGAGCCAGAGCCACTGACCATGAGGCTGTCACTGCGCCTGCTACTGCTGCTGGGAGCCTGGGCCATCGCAGGGGGCTTCAGGGACAGGGCCCCACTCACAGCCACGGCCCCACAGCTGGACGACGAGGAGAAGTACTCAGCTCATATGCCTGCTCACCTGCGGTGTGACTCCTGCAGGGCAGTGGTCTACCAGGTGAGTACCCCCCCTGCAGTTCCCCTGCCCCTGTCCACGTCCCTCCTGAAGCCACGCCCCTCCATCGGCCTCAGATTCTACCACTGGCCTTTGATTTCCAAGCCCCCACCCCTGGGCCCTGAGCTAGACTCAGCTTTCCATGACATTGCCATCTGCACCTTACCCAAACCACCATGCCTCAGTTTACCCATCTCTCAGCCCAACAGAGAGCAAATAATCTGGGACACCCCACAGTATCTCGAGACCCCAGGGAGTCACCCGCTTGTCCTCTCTGACTCCTCCCTTTCCAGGCTTATTCTCCGGCCTGGACTCCTTCTCTGGCTGGCAAGCCCTGGTGTATATGTACGTGTGTGCACATGGGTTGAGGGCATGAATATATGAGTCTGTGTGGTCTCGAGTTCACACAGAAACCTGTCAAGCATGCCTGAGTACCTCTGTGGGGGGAGGGAAGCCTATGAGTACACGTGTCACTGAAGACTGGGCTCTGTTTTGTTTTTTTTGGTTTTTTTCCTTTCCTTGTTCTTATGGTTTAAAATAGCATGGCTGATGGGCAGGTGTGCCCTGGGGAAGGAGCTCCAGTGTTCAGGCCTACCTTCACACCTCAGCATTTCCTACCCACCCACCCCACCCCAGGGAGGTGGATCCTACGTCAGCAGACCCAGTCCCAACTTTCAGAACCTGGGGGAGGGCCCAAAAGTCTCCCTTGGCACCTCACTCTCTCCCGGAGACCCAGTCTTCTGTCTGACCCTCCGCCGCCATTGAGCAGTCCCGAAGCCTTGGGTCTCAGCCCCTCCTTGTTCTAGATGTGGCAACATTTGGCAAAGGCAGAGGCCAAGCTTCACACCCCAGGCTCAGGGGGACAGCGGCGGGAGCTGAGCGAGTCAGTATACACAGACGTCCTGGACCAGAGCTGCACCCAGACCTGGCAGGGGTGAGTCAAGAATCTGGCCCCTAGGACCCTCCTCTAGGGGTAGGGCTGATGGGTAGAGGTTCCCACTCTCCCACTCACACCAGACACACAATCCACTAGGGCTTTGGTCCAAGGGAGGGGGCTGGCTGGGATGAAATCTGAGGTCTGGAGCTGGGGGCAAGTAGAATGCTACATGGCCAGGGGACAAGGTTGCTGTGTGACCTTGGGACAGGGGCTTTCCCTCTCTGGTTCTCAGTTTTCCAACAGGGAGGATCAGAATCTGCATTCTGAATTCAGCAAATGCCCCGTGTGCCTGGCTTCATGTGGGGATGTATCCCTTGCTGGCAGGGCTCCCACTAATGCTGTCTCCCTCTCCTTCCTACTGTTTCCAGCTATGGGGTCCGAGAAGTGAACCAGGTGAAACGTCTCACAGGCCCAGGACTCAGCAAGGGGCCAGAGCCAAGCATCAGCGTGATGATCACAGGGGGCCCCTGGCCCACCAGGTGATGACAGGGGTGTGGGAGTAGGATGGAGACCTTGGAGCCGTGATCAGCCCCCTGAGGGGCAGGCAGGGTCTGAGGCTCCTGTTGGGCTCCCCTAGGCTCTCCACGACATGTTTCCACTACCTGGGGGAGTTTGGAGAAGACCAGATCTACAAAGCCCACCAACAAGGCCAAGGGGCTCTGGAGGCATTGCTGTGTGGAGGACCCCAAGGGGCCTGCTCGGAAGAGGCGACTGTCACAAGGACAGAGCTCTAGTCGGGGGTGTCGGGGGTGGGGTGGGGGTAGGCCTTCCCTTCTGGACTAAAATAAAACCCAGTGACCTCGATTTCTTCATTCTCTCTCTCTGCAAAAAGTGGTTGTGGGCTGGGAGGACAGACATTGGCATTTCTGCTAATGTTGTACCTAGAGAGAGCCAAATACACTTACTTCCCACCAGTCTCCCAGAGGTAGGTGAGATGTGTCATGGGTTGAAATGTGAGCGAGCTGTCAAAGGCATATGGGACTGTGGTGAAACCCCAAATCCACCAAGAGAGAAAAACCAAGGAAAACTCCATGAGCAGACTACCTTGTAGACACGCCTACTCAGCCACTGCAAGCTATCTGGGCCCCTTCCTGAACATTAGTCTAACTGGGTCTATTCCCAGCAGCTGCTCAATTTCTGGCCTCTACCTCTGACCCCAGCTGACAGGGTTGGGCCCTAGGTGTCTGCCTGGGACTGGGTAGGGCAGGGTTCCTGGAACAGCTGGATTCAGTATCTTGGCTCTCAGTCCTGCTTTCCCAGAAGTTCTTTTGACCTGGGACCTTTCCTTAGCAATGGAGGAAAGCACCCCACCTGAGCCCCACCTGAGAACGGGAGCCTGTGGGCAGGCCACGCTCTAACTTGTCGCTTCCTTGGTGAGTATCTCCCTGATCTGCTGAAGGTGGACAGACCTGGCACGTGGACAGAACAGATACTCGAATCCCCAGCTGACAGACACTGAAACTGAGGCTTAGAAAATAAAAGAGGGGCATCTGGGTGGCTTAGACAGTTAAGCATCCGACTCTTGATCTAGGCTCAGGTCATGATCTCGGGGTTGTGAGCTCGAGCCCCAAGATAGACTCGGCGCTGAGGGCGGAGTCTGCTTAAGATTCTCTCCCTCTCCCTCTGTGCCCCCCCACTTGCGAGCGTGTGTGCTCTCTCTCTCTAAACTGATAAGAGCAGATGCTACACTTGATCTTAGCCAAAAGGCCGAGAAGCGATGTGCTCTTTCTCTCTAAAAAAAAAAAGGAAGGAAGAAAGAAAGAGAGAGAGAAAGAAAGAAAAGAAAAGAGGTGCTCAGGCCAAGTCCCAGGCTGAGTAGCGGCAGGGCTGGGAGGGGACTCAGATTCTGGGGGTGGGGGCAGGTTGTTGCTGGAGAAATAGGGGTGCTCCAGGCAGGCCCTGACCCCTCCAATGTCCATGAGCTGTACTGAAGCCTGGCCCCTACATTCCATTACTTGGTCCCTACCTGCCAGAGGCCCCTCCTCCCTGGCCTTCAACCCAGGAGAGAACCCCTCGTCTTCGGGAAGAGAGCCAGGGCCCAAGGAACCCAGTGAGCTCAGTAGTATTGGGTGTGGAGATGGGAGCGTGTGACACGGACCTGTGTGGCTCTGTGTTTATATGGAGTGATTTAGACACACTCTGCAGCACAGTCTGGGTGTTGTAGGTCCATTTGTTTGTGCATCTGAAACCATGTGCAACGTAGCTGCCCCATCTCTATGTGGATGGCATATGGTTTGGGTTGAATTGAATGTCCATGGGACTGTGCACATAAGTGTAAGGGGTGGAGCTCAGACCCCTGGGGAGTACTGGGGTGGAGAGGGGTGGGGAGGCAAATGCTAAGGAGCAGTTCCGAAGCTTCGAACTGGTCAGACAACTTTGGGACACCCCGGAGCAGGAGCCAAGGAAGTAGAGCAGGAGATAGGCAGACAGGAGACAAGCTGGAGGTTGGACAGGCGGACGGACGCACGGCTGTAGCATGAAACTCCTGCCCAGCTGGAGAGCCCGGCTGCCTGTGGGCCCTTGGAGCAGGGCCTGGCCGTGGGCCCAACAACCGAGAAGTAGGTGGGCCCTGGGGGGCTGGGCCTGGGGCAGCACAGAGGGGAGCAGAACCAGGAACCTTAGGCCTAATCCTCACCAGCTGAGGAGCCCCAGCTCCTCGGAACCTCCCCAGGCCCCTTCAGCCAGCTCTGGGCCCCATGGCCAGGCCAGAGGGCCTGCCCGGAGGAAAAGACAGGCTGAGTCCAGGGCAGGCTTCAGCGGCCGTAGGACAGGCACTCACACAGGGCCCTGTGCTTAGAAAAGTTTGGTTTGATCTGGTTTAATACTCTGTTGTTGCTGTATCAAAATTCATAATACTAAACAACAAAAAAAATCCGTAATACTTTTGGAATGGGGGCCCCAAATTTTCATTGTGCACTGGGTCCTGCAGATTATGTAGCCAGTCCTGATGTGGGGCGGGGGGGTGGGGGTGGAGGAGATCGTTGTCCTGACACAGGGAACAGGCAAGGTGGGCCAGCCTGGGCAGCTTCTCCTGCAGCAGCCCCTCTGTTTTGTGCCTCTGTGACACTGAGGGTACTTGGCCATGTGGGAAAGGCAGCCCTTTATTGAATCTATTGGCTGTTTATAGCATGCACTCAGGAGTTCAGGCTAACCTGCGTTTTTGGAATGATGTTCTAAAATCTTGCTACCTATATGGCCTCGGTCAGATCACATCTCCTAGATCTGTTTCCTCAGCAGTAGTTACCACCGCCTAAGGCCTGGGGTAAGCACGGGAATACATAGCAGTTGCTGGGCATGCAGTCATCCCTCATTAAGGAGAGTGACTTTGATGAGGATAATGATTAACTTGTTATTAAAAAGTGGGGAAGAGTCTCATTCAGAGTGTGATCTATTAAGGGCCACTGCCATTCTCTTCCCCGTCACCCGGGGCTTGGTGTCTGTCGTCACCTCCACCCTGGCCCTCTCTTGGAAACAAGACCAGGTCCCATGCCGGGCTCAGGCGCAGGCAGGGAAGGGCGCATGCTCGGGAGGGAAATGTGACCGAGGCTCAGGTGGCCTTTACCACTCGGGCCGGAGTTAATACGTTACCTCTGCCCAGGTCTGCCTTTCGCAATCAGGGCTGTGGATCTGGTTACAGATTTACTTCGAACAATGTCTGATGTGTGGACTAAAGTCCTCCTTGGCCTTTGTAAAGCCAACCCCTCTTTTCCTCAGGAACCGCTCACACCTGTGCCCCAAAGATGAGGGCCCAGGAGAACCTGGAGGGCCAGACACAGGTGCTGGGGAATGGGTGGGAGCTGGGTGGGGGCAGGGTTGGGTGGGGGCTAGAGGGCCTGCTCTTGTCTTCCCCCTGGGAAGGCAGAGACACAAGTTCTGATGAACTTGATTGAAAGTGACTATCCCAGGCTGAAAGTAGCGACTGGGGGATGGGGTGTGGGTGGCAGTGAGGGTGCAGTTGTCAGCTTTGGGACTGGCTGACTCCAGCCTGAGGGTCAGCAGGGACCACCTACCCCACCCCCAGGGCAACCCCAAGGAACCCCAAGTGGCAAGGGTAGGACCAGAGTGTGCCCAAGAGGGCCTGTCCACGGACTTCAGCCCTCTTGGCCCCCCTCCTGTTGCCCCTTGGGGCCTTCTGACTTAGGGGCCCATCCCCTTGGCCAGAATGCCTCAGTCCCAAGGCCTCCAGGAGCCAGCACAGAGGACTCATCCCTGCACAAAGGAATGTGAGGAGGGAGCCAGGGGTGGCCAGACCGAGAGACAGCTGGGTGGATGAACCGGGAGGGAAGGTGGGGCTCAGACACCGTTGTGAGGATCTGACAGGCCACTCAGGCCATTTGATTGCTTCTGGGGCAGAATGCACTTGGTTGGTGCCCATCACTCCACCCTGAGTTACTTCTCTCTGCTGCCCTAGCAGGAGTCCCTGGGCTCCGCAGGGAACTCCACGAGGGATCCCACAGTGTCCCTGCCCAGAGAGCCCACGTTTGACATGTTGTACAAGATTGAGGATGTGCCACCCTGGTACCTGTGTATTCTGCTGGGCTTCCAGGTGGGTTTCCCTGCAGGGCCTCCCCACCCCCACTCTGCATGATCCCCAGGATCCCACCCCCCTTCCTAGCCAACAAGTTTATCTTGGGTAACAGGAAGAGAAACCTAAGGTCAACAACAGTGACTGTCACGGAGCTGGGGTGGGAGGGGGCGTCTGATGGGGCCTGAGAGATCATCCCCGGGAATATGTGTCACCTGCCAGGCAGAATGTCAGTCACAGGGAAAGGACCCACTCCACAGAAGCCACAGGAAGAACTTGGGGGCAGATTAGTACCCCAAAGAGAGAGGTGAACAGTAGCTCTCTGGGACTCCCTTGTGCGAGTATCAGGCCTGGGTGAGCACCCTGCCAGGGGCAGCAGGGTTTCAGGCCCCCTGAGGCAGGCATGAGGATCGTTAGGGTGTCCCTGTTTGCCTGTGAGCCGCCTCACGCCCTCCCCCCCGACCCCTAGCATTATTTGACATGCTTCAGTGGCACCATCGCTGTGCCCTTCCTTCTGGCTGAGGCGCTGTGCGTGGGCCGGGACCAGCACATGGTCAGCCAGCTCATCGGTACCATCTTCACCTGCGTGGGCATCACCACCCTCATCCAGAGCACACTGGGAATCCGGTGAGCTGCCTGCCCCCACCTGTGAGCCACACCACAGGACCAGGTGGTTTCTCCGAGGGCGCTTCTGGGGAGGGGGGAGCTGCTATCTTCCCCCACCTGCTACTCCTACTCCCAAGCCAGCCTTAGAGCCAGGCAGCTGGGATCCTACCTTGGGCCCCTGAGGCTCCCCAAAGACAAGGAGTCGGTGGGTTTAAGGGAATATACCCTTAGCTGGGCTCTCCCCCTGTTAGGCCCTACTCTGAGTAATCAGAATCACCCACTCCCGGCTTTTAGGCTGTGTGTGAGCTTCTTCAACGGCCCATCCTCCTGGGGGCCCCCTGCCCCCGAGCACACAGCTCAAGGCTTGGGTGGCCAAAAAACGGTTGTGTGGTGGGAGGATGGAGGAAGGTTGTGAGTGGAGCTTGGATGCAAGAGCTGAGCTGTCTACTTCCTTGCACGGGGCTCCTCACAGTGCAGGAGCTGGGGCTGAGAAGGAAAGGGGGGAAGGTTGTGAGGCAGGGACTCTATTTGTTTTCTTCCTTGGGCCCCCCAAATTCATGGAGTCCTGCCTGGGGCTGCAGTGACTTCTCTTAGCTCTGCCCT